CGCCGCACAGGCTTGTGGCAAAGTCAGCTGGAACTGCACGTTGCCTGGGTCCTACTGAGAGCCCAGGATCAAAGCAGGCAGCTCGAGCTGATTGGCGGCGGCTTTGGGGGCAGCAGGCAGCCTCATGCAGTCTTCAGTGGAGATTCCGCTGAAGCTGCATGACACATTGTCTGAGTCCCCCCCCACCCAGATGCCCTCACCTCCCCCAAGTGTTTTTTTTACTCACCTGCTTTCAGCAGCATTCTCTTTCTCCTGTCCTTCTCAGCATTTGCCATGTGTTTGTGAGGCAAAAAAAAAGTTTCATGAGACTTTCTAACTTGAGAAGGACAGGAGAAAGGGAATGCTGCTGAAAGCAGGTGAGTAAAAAATGCTTGGGAGAGGGGAGGGCAACTGGTTTGGGCACCAACCTTACCCTGCATGGTGGCGGGAGGGTTAACGGTGGGCGTGGGGGGCAGGAGAAGCTGCCCAAAGCAGGCAGAGGGGAAGCTGGGCAGATTGTGGGCGCCGGCAAGCGAGCGAGAATGGGCAGGGACACGAATCGGTGTGTAGTCAGAAACACTGATCTCGTGCTTCTGCCCATCTCGCTTGCTTTCCGCTTGCTTTCTATCTATCAATAGCTTTTGACACTTTTCTGTGTCTTCTGAAGTTTGTTTCTGCAAGCAAGTGAGATGAGCAGGGGCGGGAATAGGCGTGTGCTCAGAAACATCGACCTTGTGCTCCTGCCCATTTCAGTTGCTTGCAGAAACAAAATTCAGAAGACACGGAAAGGAGTCAACAGCTGTTGATAGATAGATAGAAAGCAAGCAGAAAGCAAGCAAGTGAACTGGGCAGGAGGACAAGATCAGTGTTTCTGAGCACATGTTGATTCGCGCTCCTGCCCATTCTCACTCGCTTGCAGGGGTCCTGACCGACCTTCACCGGACGGGAGCGGGAAGGGCATAAAAGAGCCCAGAGGAGGCAATTGGAGTTTGGCCATTGCTGCCTCCATCACCGCTGTTGCTGAGCCAAATGGGTGCTGCAGTTCCTGCCTGCGGCTTCTCCTTGGCTACTTCCTCCAAAAAGGAGCGGCGGTCGCGCTTGGCGCAGCCAGGAGCTTAGCACAGCCGCTGTTTGTCCGCAAGGAAAGAAGAGCGCAGGCAGCAGAGAACGCACGGGGAAAGAGCTGCGGCTGCCGGACTCCCTCTGGTGGGTTGCGTGCGGCTGCAGCCCAAGAAAAGCAGCGAGCGGGGAAGCGGCTCATTCATTGCTGCATGCTCTCCTCCCCCTGTGGAAGAACAGTGGCTGTACTGGATTTCTGGCTGCACCGAGCGCGACCGCCGCTCCTTTTTGGAGGAAGCAGTGGGCAGGAACTGCAGCAGCCATCTGGCTCAGCAACAGTGGCAGTGGCGGCAGTGGGAGGGAAGGTGAGGATCTTTCACTTTGCAAGCAGGAGCAGCAGCAGCTGCAGCCTGCGCTGCCCGGCTCGCCAAAGGTGTCTGTCTGCCAGCCCTGGTGGCTTTTTTAATGTTCAGGGAGGCGCTCCAAAAAGTTTTTTTTTCTCCCACACGCGCGCATGCTTGCACGGAGAGTCACACGGGGCTGGGTGGGACTTGCGAAAGAGGGGGAGGGGGAGGAGGAGAGGGGGGGAGAAAGGAAAAGAAAAAAGAAAAGATCCAACTCCGAGAAGAGAAGGCGGGGGATGATGAGGCAGCGTGGTTTCCCGAGGCTGCAAAGTTAGCAGTGGGATTTGCCCAGTGATGTCACACCAACCAACCTCGCCGTCTGCGCATCTTGCCCGGACAGACTGGGATCAACCCGGGTACAGTTGTGGGGCCCGATCACCTCTTCGTTCCCAACCCCCCTGCACTTCCCCTTTGCAACTCCGACCACCGGGGCTTTTGCAAAACGACCAGCCAACTTGGCTTTCCCAGACCCCTTTGAGGGTCGCAAAGCAAGGCTTGGAGACTAGAGTCGGGAAGGGATAAAGTACACAATCGCCCCGGGCACGGTTGTGGGACCCGATCGCCTCTTCCCCTCCCTTTGCAGCTCTGACCACTGGGGCTTTTGCAGGATGGCCAGCCAGCCTTTGGCTTTCCCTGACATCTTAAGGTCGCAAAGTGGTCACAAAGTGACAGTGGCAGTGGCGGCAGCGGCGGCCAAACTCCAGTTGCCTCCAATTGCTCTTTTATGCCCTCCCTGTTCCCGTCTGGTGAAGGTTGGTCAGGACCCCTGCAAGTGAGCGAGAATAGGCAGGGACGTGAATCGGCGTGTACTCAGAAACACCGATTTCGTATTCCTGCCCAGCTCACTCGCTTGCTTTCCGCTTGCTTTCTATCTATCAACAGCTTTTGACGCCTTTCCATGTCTTCTGAATTTTATTTCTCTGCTGCTTGGGACAATCTACTCCCTTGTTTGAATCTGCTTAATTGTAATTTCCTTGATTAGCTACAGTTTTCAAGCAGTTATAATCTCTCTTAATCTCGATCTATTTGATTTCTCCAGAGTTTCTTATTTCTTCCTGTCAGTTGTAATATGTTAAACATCAAGATCCTTGGCCCCCAAATTTTAATTACCTTATTTTTCATAGCAAATGTCTGCCAATTTTAATCAAAGGGAGGGGTCCTTAGCGCTCTCTGAGGTTTGTTGCAAAGAAGCAAAAAACCTCTAAGATCACTCCTCCCTACACTGACAGGGAAACCACTACTAGAATATAAATTAACAGCAAACCCCATTCCCTACTAGCAAGAAAACAACCAAGCTCAGAGAGTACCAAGGATCCCTCATGTCAACCCTGAGCTATAAATACTCTCCTGTATCAGTTGAATCAAAGTGTTATTCTTTTCAATATTTCTCAACTTTACTGCACCCTTCTGGGTTGCATTATCATTATCATCATCTTAACTTTATTGCAGTCATTAACCAGAACAAAAGAATTGGCATTCAAATACTCAGAATATCCAAAACTAAAGTGACAAATTCAGGATAGTTAAAAAAGTACTTTCAGACAAACATTTTGGCTAAAAAACAATATCAAATCAGAATATGTTAAAAGGCTTATTCATGCTACAGATATACAACAAGATGAAATTTAAATATGTAATCTGGATAATATGAACTTGGAATAGCACTATAAAATATGAATATATGCACAAATACATATGCATATTCATATACATTCTCCCTCTCCCTTTCTCACAGACACACACACACACACACACGTAGCCCGCTGACCTGGGGCTTCACTTAGCAAGCAGCATATTTGCCCTTCAGAGTATAAACAGTAACATGCCTATTGAAAAGTTTGATTTCCCTCCTGCCCATTCACAATGGTAACAGTTTTTGGGGTGTCTTTTATGGGAGGTTGTGTAGTTCTTACACAAAGGCTGAGATTTCTTGCACCAGAATCTTGGCATGCAGTTTTTGCAATTGTTCCTGTATCAAGAGATTTAGTCATTCCTTTATTTTGGACTTAACACTGCTCACCTTAATTATTACAGTGCAAAAGGAAAGTGATTCAGCAAAGGAACCACCATCCAAGAAATTAAAACTGAGTGATGGAGGGAGGGAAGGACAGTGAGAGGGAGAGAGGGACAATGGAAGGGAAGGAAGGAAGGAAGGAAGGAAGGGACAATGGGAGAGAGGGAGGGAAGGAAGGCACCTATCCCAGTCCCACCCCCCTCCACCAGAGACCCATGGATTCCCCCCCACAGGCACCCCGCAATCTGAATGATGAGCTGGCCATGCCCCCCCCCCGGCCATTGACTTTGCTTGTCAAAAAGTTGCAAAAGGGGATCACATGACTCTGGGACACTGTGAACGTCATAAGTATGAATCAGTTGCCAAGCATCCGAATATAAATCACATGACCCTGGGGATGCTGCAACAGTCATAAGTGTGAAAAATAGTCATATGTCACTTGTTTCAGTGCCATTGTAACTTCGAATAGTCACTAAGTGAATTGTTGTAAGTTGAGGACTACCTGTACTTTATCATTTTTTTCCTTTTTGGGGGGGTGTCAAGTTTTTGACACCTTGCTGGGTGACTGGAGGTATTCGGATGTTGCCTTATCCTAAAAGTGGTACAATGGGTGAAAAGGTTGAAAAGCCCTGCACTGGTGGGCCATGAGCTGTTTGCAACTGGGCCATGGAAATGGGTGAGTGCGCCCACGCATTCCCACTTGTGCAAGCAGTGGGTGAGGGCGTGCACACACACTCCATTTGTGTGCACACCACTCATGCAAGTGGAGCTGTGTGTGTGTGCATGCTTGCTGATGCATGTGCGGGGAACCATTACTTTCCCTTTCCCTGCCAGTCCACAAAGCCAGAAAGGTTGGGGAACTTTGTTCTAGACAAATTGTACAGCTAATCCTGGAACTATACCGGCTATTTAATGATCATTAGAAGATATAATAATAATAATAGTAGTAAAGTTGGAATGGATCTTGGAGGTCATCTAGTCCAACCCCCTGCTCAGGCAGGAAACCCTACACCATTTCTGACAAATGGCTGTCCAGTCTCTTCTTAAAAACTTCCAGTGTTAGAGCATTTACTGCTTCTGGAGGCAGGCTGTTCCACTGATTAATTGTTCTCACTGTCAGGAAGTTTCTCCTTAGTTCTAGGTTGCTTCTCTCCTTGATTAGTTTCTACCCGTTGCTTCTTGTCCTGTCTTTAGGTGCTTTGGAAAATAGCTTGATTCCCTCTTCTTTATGGCAGCCCCTGAGATATTGGAATACTGCTATCATGTCCCCCTTGTCCTTCTCTTCGTTAAACTAGACATACAACACATTTCAAAAAAGTTATGACCCATCCTTGAAATTACAACTTCTACCTCATCACATGACTACTTTTATGTTTGGTTGTAGCATATCATGGTCATGTGACTGAGGTTTTTTTTTGTGGGTTTCTGTCTGAAAAAATTGAGTGCAGTCATGTGGTGCCTCAAATTATAACTCCAATGACTTCTGATCAAAATTCTGAGCTTTGTAGGTCGAGGACTATCTGTACTTTCATGGCTTTTTACAGGATTCTTCCCTCCCTTGGGATATGAACAAGACAAAGAAATTCTGACACAACATGTTCTGGACATGGAAATCAACAAGACCAGCCTCTCCCACCCAGGAACATTTTTTCTGGTAGTATATTTTCGTATTGGCAAGATAATTAGATTGGATCACAATGTTTCAGTTGAGAAGAGCATCAATTTAATGTTCTGCCGTCATCTATTCTGGAAGGCAGACACAAATAATTCCATATGTTGCCTGGCTGTGGCTATGTAATATAGGTGCTGTAAAATCAATTGCCCACATTTTATTATTTTTATAGGGGAATTACAGTCTCTTATAGTATTTTCCTTGAAGTATCCAAGTCATTTTGCTATCTTCTATAGTACAGACTCTTTTTTTTGGCTCCAGATAGACTCTTATCTCCCTGGATATTGCCAAATTCTATTATGCTGCCAGTAAGTAGGATCCAAGTTTACTAATCCCCATATTTGTCAGTATAGTACAACTGTGGTTAAATCTTGAATAATTCTGAATAGACATACACAAAATATTTTATTTTTGCCTACTTCTGTCTTAAAATTTCAGTTTAATGTCACTAATATTGAGTACTTAGGACAAACAACAGTTTCAAATAACAATTGTTTCCTAATATTAGAGATTATTTATTGCTATAACAATAGTTGTAAAATTCTTTTCTATTTCATTAGCTTATGTTTTGTATCTGGCCTTCCTGTTCTATTTTTATGTTGTTTGTTGATTGTTTTGTTTTATACTGGTCTTTAAACAAAATTAACTTTGAACTTGATACTAATTTCACAGTTGGCATGTACTGTAGGTAGTACTAATGTTGGCCATTAAGTATAATAACATTTTGTTGCAATAGTCTTGATTCTGCAGTAATGAATTAATACAGTAGTATTAATGAAGTAATGATTAATACAGGCTAGTAGTAATTTGGCTTCTTTCTGAGTAGTTGAGTAAAAATTCTCTGAGATATAGAGTATTTGTAGCCTCCAGTCTGGAACTTCTCTTATGTGTCTGTGGGTCTTTTTTCAGTCTTTTAGTTGTACTTCTAGCAGCACATAATTCCTTCATGTTTGGTAGGGAAGCTGTTTTATCTTTTTGGCATGCCAGTTTTGCTTCTGACTTCCCAGGAATTGAGAGGTTGTATTGTTCACTTTCACTGGCTTAAGAAGCCCTTCCAAAATTAGATGTTGCCTCTTCCTTAGTTGGTTCTGTGCTTAGCATTATACTATAATGAAACACCAGTTCACAAAAAGCAAAGCACTCTTCTGGGTACAAATTTTTTTAAAAATAATAAAAATAAATAATTGCACACTGAAATAAAAAAAAAAGCTCTTTAGACTTTAACCTACATACTTGCTACAGCAGTTGTGCAATGAAATCTTCCTCAGATGCATGGAATATTGTCCTGTGGAATATAGGAACATTCCCTTCCATTAGGGTGGAGCATCAAGGCAGCTAATGTAGACCATATAATGTGGCGTAGTAATGTAGTCCAACCTATGCTTTAATCAATTTTTGAATCTTTAAAGTACCACAAGACTTTGTTATAGCTGAATTGTACAATAACACCCCCATGTTACATATAATAAGTAATATGGCATCAATCTAGACATATTAGCAATCTAATATGCTCCTTTAAAAGTCTCTGTAAATGCTCAAATTGTACCTTCAAGTGATCATAAGATGTAAGATGGTTCATGCCTTAAAACACTTCCTTGTCACAAGGAATTCAGCAATTTAGAATTTCTTTTTATTGTTCCCTAACTAAATACAACCCCCCCCAACAAGAATACATAACATTATAAAAGAAAAAAAGGAACAAAAACAGGGCATATATTCAGCTACATGCATACATAGATACATTTGTATAATAACCCTTTAAATGAATGGAGGACATAATTAGTTACAATCATCCATAGCTTATCTATATTGATCAATTCTGTAGACCATTAAATAATTGGAGCTGCATGTTTTTCTTTCTGATGCTGAGTAACATGTCTTAACTGTAAGTAAAGTATAGAAAATCTTTGTTTATTCAGATGTCAACTCCCATGAAATAGGATAAACTTTAAAATAGTATAAACATTTGAAAATATCGAATCTCAAAGTTGAGGTAATGCATGTAATACAAGTAACACTTTTCCTAAACGGAACAGTTGTTGGACACTATAGAAAGATGTTTAAATAAGTTATTAATTGTACTGCATCTCCAACATTAGCCTTTTTATATAAATGCAGTGATGTCATTATTTGTTGAAAAAGATATAATCTATAATCTAAAATCTGCCCGTTCTCTAGAGTTATGTGTAGTGAGGATTTCTGAAGGATGAAAAAGACATTTTTCATTTCTGGCATCAAGTTTAATTAAATATATGTTGCTAAATAACCTTTATTCCTGAGTTGTTGTAGTTGAATTACAGTAGTTAGTAATACTGCTATCTGTCAAAATACCCTGAAATATTGCAATATGTCAAATATATATGGTGGATGATGTTTTCAGCCTACAGACCCTAAACATTAAATATTATTTGAGGATGCTAGCTCAAGGGGAAAAATGTAAAATCAAATTTTATGCTTTGTTAACTGAGTTTCTTTGAAACTTACTGACTATAAAATAAAGCTACACATTTCATAAATTTAACTAGCTTAAAATAAAACAAATCTTAAAATTAAACTTATAAAAATAATACTGTGTGATAAAAAGGCAGATAGCTGAGGCTATACTGTTTGCAACCAAAATGAACAAACATTGGAATGCCTAGTGGAAAAACACTTTATAGCACATTTTTCAGACCACAACAGTGTTCTTTTGAGCAGGGCATCTCCCCTGGAAAGTCTCTGTTCTAGACCAAAGAATTTTCTCTAAATACTGTATTTGACGTTTTTTGTCTAAGGTAGAAGATGGATGAGAATGAGGATGATGAAAATAGTAAAAATGTATGTGAGACAAAGCTATACAATATATAGACTTATGGGTGTGATTCAGTGTGTTGATTGTCACCTGTATAGCATATGACCAGGCTTTTCGAGAAACCACCTGTCCCTGTTGTTTCTGCCTGCCCCATCAGGTCTATTGGGGAGGACATGCTTTGGATACCTTCTGTCTAATAATACCATCCTGTTGGACCCAGAAGTCACGCCTTCTCTATGACTGCACCTGCCCCGTGGAACAGCATTCCCCACCTGGAGATTCAGATGACCCTGACCATGATAAGGCTCTAAAGACCTGGCTTTTTTCCAGGTATTTGGGCCAGATAGTTAGGTGAGCTCTGCTGTTGATGTGTTTTTTCGCTTTGAGACATATTATATACTTTAGATGTCAGGGATCATGGTGGTTTAAACCAGGTATTCTGTTGGGAGTCACTGTTGTAAGATGGTTAGCCAAAATAATTGTTTAAAAATAGAAATAAAATATATGAAGTGTTACTTTGGAACACAGCAATTCATTCATATTTAGCCTATTTACAAAATGCTAAGTATTCCAGTAGAAATGTTAGCAATCCAATAATGTCAAACAATGTAGTTATTTAACATCAGAGCATTTTCTTTTAAGAAAACAAACAACTCCTGCATTTGGTATAATTTTAGGATCTTTAATGATGCAATTACTAGGTTACTACACTGATAGCAATTTTATAGTGCTATTAGAGATTCTGTAGTTTTGGATAATATATAATAATCTAAGTTTGCAATGTAGCATGTGTTGAGAATTTGATTATTATCATGTGCATTCATAGAAATAAATGCATTGGTGTTTTTTATAGTACATTTTACATGTTTGTCTTTGTTATAGTTGTTATAATGACTCAAATTTGAAATGTCAATTGACTGTAGGAATTTTTTTGTTACTTTTTTGTGAGCTTAATAATTAATAGACAATTCTTGTCAGTAAGAATTAAATTACTGCTGACTTGCTAACTGGTGTTGTTCCGGTATATGGTTCAGTAAAAACATCTTTGGTATTGGACATTGTAGTGTTAACCCCATTGAATATTTTATGGCTTGTTAATTGGAAGAATGTAGCTGACAAAAATGTCTCTGTTCCTACAGTCCTTAATATATTAATTTGGTTGGTCATTTTCATTATCTTCCCTTGTCATCCTTATTCATGGATTGCTGTGGAAGGGTATAAGCTAGCATTGTGCCTGGCAACTGTTACCTAGTGACAGCTTCAGCTGTAATAGCCATTGGCTGTGCTTTTGACTGGGACTGAAGGACCGAGTCACCTTCCTGATGGTGAGTTTTTCTGCATCAGCTAATGATGAAGAGAAGGGGCAGACTTAGGTGAAAACTGTAATATCACAAGGAAATATGTAAAGAATGAAAGAACACTCTTTCAGCAAATAGGATAGCATCTATACCTCATTTTGAGACAAAAGCTAGTGTATTACCAAATACACTTTCTTATTGCTTCGGGAAGAGAATGCAATCAATATTAATTTTATAGTAGTTTGGACTGCTTATGGAAGCATATCACAGTCAACATGTTATGGATGTCATTAAAAATAAGGATTTTCAGCACTTCGTGGTGATAAGGAACATGAGGCGTGAAACTTAGAAAAGGATGTCTTCTATTCCATTGCTGCAGCAGGAGCAGAGAAAATACTTACTCTCCCTCTCATGAAAGGAATTCCACACCATGGACTATTAAATAGCACAAGTGTGATTCCAGGACTTTAAAAAGGAAAAGGGGAAAAAAAGAGCCCTTCACCTGAGCTTTAATATAAAATTGAAGTGACTTTGGATTTTTATTTTTTTAAGACTGTATGATTTGCATTTCTTTGGATCCTTAATTAAAAATGCATTTGATTTGTGTAGAGATAGGTTAGAAAGTAAGACTGCTGCATGTATCGAATGCCTGCTTATTAGTGAGTATTGAAAGAACTTTTGTAACCCATGGATGTGTCCTTATTGCAAATGTAATGAATAGGTTAATGTTTTGCCACATCATACAAGCCTTTGGAAGCAGATGGTTATTTTAATTACTAAAGAAAATACATGCACAGCATTTGAAAAAATGAATCCAGAAAATAAATGGAATAATACTGTACCATGACAGCTTTTCTTGTTAAATCAACATTTCATTAGCTTCTCAGAAAAATGTAGATGAGAGTTAATGATAGCATTGTGTTGAGCATATGAAAAAAAAATGGAGATTGCTATAGAGGTGAGAAGTGACTGGGACAGAGCTATGAACTTCACTTTAATGATCCTATGTTGTTGCAGTTGTAGCCTAATTTCAGAAGTCAATGATTTCACTTTGTTTTTCCTGACATTAAATGCAAGACAGTTTCGTGTTCTGTGAGAAGCTTGGATTATCTTGTTGACATTTTCACATTAAGGTCGGCAACGTGTTTCAAACTGAATTAGCTGTTGAAGCTCTAATACTATGCCAGTGTGTGCCTTTTCTTTATTTTATTTTATCTTAACTAAACAGAGAAGATCTAGTTCATCAAAGGGGTGACAGGAGTCTCCATATATCAGTTACTACTTTAACTATATTTCTTAACACATCACCAAAGACTATTGAAGCTAGTTTGCATTCATGTGTTCGAACAATATCCATACAAATGCAGAATTGATTAAGATGATACAAGGAATGCTATGATCTGAAAGCCAAAAGATACCATATACCATTTTACTGGATTTCTTAGTCACATTGTTCTTAAACAATACTGTTATTTGGTTTAAAAAATAACATATGGAACATTTTTAACATGGCTTTCTTTTTTTAAATTCCTCCCTTCCCCAGGAAAATTACTTCCAGAATTTTTAACTGCAACTTTGTGTATTTCTTTTCTTCCCACCCTGCTATTTTTGTATTTCTGCCTTTCAAAAGTGTAGTTTGAATGATTGGCTTTGTTTAAAAGTGCCTTGTATTTTGCTGAGAAAGGAAAGAGTACAAGAAGAAGCTGGATAGTGGCCTTTCTGCCTGCTTTCTTGATTTCAGTGCTGATTATTCAGAAGCAATGTTAATATTTACATGGAGAAATCGAAGCACAGAAAAAGATTAGCAGGTGAACAATGGATCGCTAGTAACTGGAATTCCGACTATATTGTCAAATAATACAAACTATGAACCAGTTCACATGGACTGAATGGAAGAATCTGAATATGAATGATAGTAATGTGAATGTGTCTGAGCATCTATCCTGCCCTTTTGGATTTGGACATTATAACACCATTGACACTTGCATCCTTGAGACTGTTGTTATTATCTTACTAACATTTTTAATTATTACTGGTAACTTAACAGTAATTTTTGTCATTCATTGTGCTCCACTTTTGCATCATTATACCACCAGCTACTTTATTCAGACTATGGCATATGCTGATCTTTTTGTTGGGATTAGTTGCTTAATTCCTACTTTGTCATTGCTTCACTATTCTGTAGGTGTTCATGAGTCCTTAACTTGTCAAATTTTTGTGTATGTCATTTCTGTATTGAAAAGTGTTTCTATGGCCTGCCTTGCTTTCATTAGTGTGGATCGCTACCTTGCCATCACAAAACCACTCTCCTATAACCAGTTGGTCACCCCCTGTCGATTGAGGATCTGCATTATTTTGATTTGGCTATACTCGGGTGTTATCTTCCTGCCTTCCTATTTTGGTTGGGGAAAGCCAGGTTATCATGGAGACATTTTTGAATGGTGTGCAGCTTCTTGGCTCACCAATGCCTATTTTACTGGATTTATTGTGTGCTTACTCTATGCTCCAGCTGCCTTTATAATCTGTTTTACATATTTCCACATATTTAGAATTTGCCGGCAGCACACCAAAGAGATAAAGGACAGGAGAGCTCGGTTTCCTAGTCATGAAGTAGATACTGCTGCAGAAACTGGACATAGCCCAGATAGCCGTTATGCTATGGTTTTATTTCGTATAACCAGTGTGTTTTATGTGCTCTGGCTTCCCTACATTATATATTTCATGCTAGAGAGCACTAAGGTGCTGGAAAATCCATCACTCTCTTTTGTAACAACCTGGCTTGCTATTAGCAATAGTTTTTGTAACTGTGTAATATATAGTCTGTCAAATAGTGTTTTTAGGTTGGGACTGTGGAGATTGTCAGAGACAATATGTTCAGCTTGTATATGTAAAAAAGAAAGCGTGGTTCGAGAGCCCGTTCCTAGAAAACGGGCTAACTCTTGTTCGATTTAAAGGAAAAAAATAGGCAGTCATATACAATCTGATATATAGACTTTGTAATATTTGTATGTTGCCAGCTTAAAATTTCAAGAAGAAATACTTATTGTAAACACGAATTATATTTTGCAAGAGTAAGAAAACATTGCTGGAATGGTCATAAGTGGGGGACTACGTTGGAAATGGAAGCCAAGCTTCCAGCAGACTGAACTTAAACCCAGACTAGCTTTAATAACAAAATTGTCACTTATGAATATGTAGAAAACTGTGGTGGTAATATAAGTACTGTATGTTATGTTAAAATGCTTATTTGTGGAGGCATACATTTTATTTTTTTCTAATGTAATATATAAAGATGAACTAATTTTCTTTTGTTCTTTTGGAGTCTGTGACCAAATTGTTCGGACAGATTTTTGCTGTTCAATGCAGAGCGTGCATTAGGCATGTATATGAAACTGTTTTAAAATGTACATTTTGTATTCTGTATCATGTGGTTTTCCTAAACTATTATTAAATTATTGTTTAACACCTGGAATAAATAATTTTTAAATTGACTGTAAAGACCTTTTTGTTTTTCTGAAAAAATCCTGTTCAGGTTCTAAAAGCATTAATGCCAAATGCAAGTCAAAGTACTTTGTTATGTAATAGTATGCAAATTCTGAAATTCAGGTAAAAGGAATTTATATCTAAATTTCTGTAATTAATGTAAGGACATTAAAATATTGGACAGGAACCAACTAAAATGTAGCAATGTGCTTTGATTTCTACAGAACAATTGAGAACACATAATTCCATTTAGTTTCATTAAAATCAGTGTGATTTATATAGCTTAGTTTTATATAGGGATTGCTCCAAAAATATCAGTAAATCATATTAAAAATCTTAGCTCAAGCGGTTATTGAGTTTTTACATGTGGGCCACATTTTTAATGTCAACACTGTAATTTATTATTTCATGACAGTCCATATTGTGAAAAACTTTCTGTAACCTTTTGCAGTAAATATATATTTAGAATAGAATAACAGAGTTGGAAGGGACCTTGGAGGTCTTCTAGTCCAACCCCTTGCTTAGGCAGGAAACCCTATACCATTTCAGACAAATGGTTGTCCCATCTCCTTAAAAACTTTCAGTGTTGGAGCATTCACAACTTTGGGAGGCAAGTTGTTCCACTGATTAATTGTCAGGAACTTTCTTCTTAGTGCTAGGTTGCTTCTCTCCTTGATTAGTTTCCGTCCATTGCTTCTTGTCCTGCCCTCAGATGCTTTGGAAAACAGCTTGATTCCCTCTTCTTTGTGGCAGCCCCTGAGATATTGGAACACTGCTATCATGTCCCCCGTCCTTCTCGTCATTAAAGTAGACATACCCAATTCCAGCAGCCTTTCCTTATATGCTTTAGCCTGCAGTCCCCTAATCATCTTTGCTGCTCTTCTCTGTATTCTTTCTAGAGTCTCAACATCTTTTTTACATCATGGTGACCAAAACTGGATGCAGTATTCCAAGTGTGGCTTGACCAAGGCATTATAAAGTGGTATTAATACTTCACGTGATTTTGATTCTATCCCTTTGTTAATGCAGCCAAGATCTGTGTTGGCTTTTTTGGCAGCTGCAGCACACTGCTGGCTCATATTTAAGTGATTGTCCACTAGGACTCCAAGATCCCTCTCATAGCTACTACTATTGAGCGAGGTAACACCCATACTGTACCTTACTTTTTTCACCATTGAATTGTATTTTGTTAGATAGCGTCCAATGTTCAAATCTGTCATGATCCTGTATCTTAAACCTATCTTTTGGAGTGTTGGCTCCATCTGTTCCCTCATCCAAATCATTGATGAAGATGTTGAAGAGTAGTGGGCCTAAAACAGAGCTTTGGGATACCCCACTGCATACTTCTCTCCATATAGATGCAGTTCCATTGAGGACTACATGTTGAGTGCGGTTGGTCAACCAGTTACAAATCCATCTGGTGGTGATGCTGTCTAACCCACATTTTCCTATCTTATCAAGTAGTAGGTTGTGATCTACTTTATCAAATGCCTTACTGAAGTCCAAGTAAATTATATCCACAGCATTCCTCTGATCCATTAATTTTGTCACTTGGTCAAAGAATGCAATAAGATTTGTCTGGTATGATCTGTTTTTGACAAACCCATGTTGGCTTTTAGTAATGACTTTGTTTGCCTCTAGGTCAGGGGTTCTCAACCTTGGCAACTTTAAGACTTGTAGACTTCAACTCCCAGAATTCCTCTGCAAAGCTGGCTGAAGAATTCTGGGAGTTGAAGTCCACAAGTCTTAAAGTTGCCAAGGTTGAGAACCCCTGCTCTAGGTGTTCACTGATTTCGTTGTTTGATTATCTTTTCCAGAATCTTCCCAGGTATTGAGATCAGGCTGATAAGTGTGTAGTTTTCTGGATCTATTTGTGCTCAGTTGTGCTAATAGTAAAAAAGAAAAGCATTTGGTATATTTTCAAAATTGGTTTCTTAATTTATTCAACTTTCAGAACTCAATATTTCTGAGAGATCTAGAGCAAAGTCTGATATGTACTGAATAAAGGTCTCCATTTTGGTATATATTCAATAATTTTACAGGTTATTTAGAATGAAAATGCATCTATGAATGAAATTAATTGTCTCAAAGAAATTGGGAGAGAGAATTTGTTCCTACCGGAGACAACTTAAACTCTCAATATCTTTTTGACAAAGGGTTTTTCTATTGCCAAAGGGGATTCATAGAGTGGAAATAGTATTCATGGGTTTGAATTTATTCAAGATACATGCTGTATTTAAACTTCAAGTCTAAAAAATGGGCAAGTGATGTTTTACTTTAGCTTATCTTTGTGATTTTTTTATTATAAATTTTATTGGTTTTCTAATATTACAACTACATAATCGAAAAGCAATGTGGCGACTCAGTTACAATAATCCAATTACATACAAATATGATTGGTACAAATCTCAACCTAATACAGTAAATATTTCCTCTCTTTTTCTCTTAATATACAGTGTCTCATATTTGAATTAACACAATTTTTATTCTAATAATCACATAGAAGCAACTTTCTTGCATTTTTTCAATAGTTTTTAATTTATATATATATTATTTATATTAACACTCAATCTTTTTGACAATCAATAACCTAATGACTTTTTCCCAATTTTGATTTACCATCAACATTTAGATTTAATGTTTAATATTGTTCATTTCCAAATTACAAATGACCCCATTTCCCTTTATCACAGTTCCTCATGAAATCTGTTGTTCAGGATACACGTCTTATCTATTTACGTTCTTGCCATTTACATCAACAAATTAATAATACGGTATAATATTTTTATTTTCTAATGATTTCCAAATATCTTAAATTAGTAACCAAAGTTTCTTTTATTTCAATGTTTAATACTTCATCTCTCCTCCTGTTCATATCTACTATCTTGTATTTAAGCTAGTAATTTTTATTCTTAATGCTACATAAAAACACATTTATTACATTCTTCAATTTTCTTTAGCTTATATATATATCTTAATCACCTTTACATAACCATTATGCACAAATCAATATTCAAATTTAATTATCAATATTTATACTTCTAAATTTTAAATGGCCAAAATTTTCTTTCTCAGTTCATATTCAAAGTACGCATCTTAGTTATTTGGGTCTATTCCATTTTAATTCTCATAAGTAGGCCTAATGACCCCAATTCCCTTTATCACAATTCCTCACAAAATCTGATGTTCAGAATACACATCTATTTACGTCCTTGCCATTTACACCAACAAATTAATAATACAGTATATAATATTCTTATTTTCTAGTAATTTCCAAATATCTTAAATTAGTAACCAAAATTTATTTTATTTCAATGTTTAATACTTCCTCTCTTCTCCTCTTCGTATCTACTATCTTGTATTTAAGCTAATGATTTTTATTCCTAATACTACATAAAATCACATTTATTACATTCTTCAATTTTTTTAGCTTATATATATCTAATCACCTTTACATGACCATTATTGACAAATCAGTATTCAAATTTAATTATCAATACTTATACTTCTAAATTTTAAATGGCTAAAATTTCCTTTATCTCGGTTCATATTCAAAGTACACATCTAATCTATTTAAGTCTATTCCATTTTAATTCTCATAAATAAACCGAAATCCCATTCTTCTTCAGTCTTATTCTAGCTTTTTTTCTTTGCCAAATCATCTTCCATGGCCGTGGTTTTGAGTCATCAAACAGATCTCCTTGTATTGTTATATTTTTTATTTGACGTTGAAGATACCACTCAGTTGCCATTTTTTTTAAAAGAACTAGCCGTTCTAGGAGGTCGACTCTTTGTTTTTCCATCTCGACGTAATTGTCTTGAACTGTTTGTCTTCTTTTCCATCTGTTCTTCTTGAACCTCAGGTTCCTTCTGGTTTATATAGAAAATCTTTTATTTTTCCCATATTATCTGTTTCTTTTTTGGATTTTCCTTTATCTGTGTATGTTGAGCAATTAAGTCTTCTGTCATAGTATTTAATTGTTCCACCTTTTCTGTTGCGTTCTGTATAGGTAATTATTTAGTTGTGATTAAAGTTTGAGTTTGCAAATCCAGGCAGCCTTCTTGGTTTTTTTTCTATAGCCTCTTATTTCTTCACCAGCTATAATAAGAGTTTGGAGGAATTCTTTCAACATGTAAAGAAGTTGCTCCTGATCCTCCTCCATCAGAAAAGTCTGTTCCTGATTTTCTTCCATGATAGTGTGCTAGACTAGAAGTTTTACAGTCAGGGATTTCAAAAAGAAAGTTTTTTTTTCACTGATTTAGGAGCACAGCTGAGCTTCTAATGTTTCAAGGTTGCAGGTGTCTTATCTATTTTCTGGGCTGTCAGCCAAGTCTCTTTTAGACAATAACAGATTGAAAAATCAAGTTTAGCCACAAGATGTCGCTCCTACCATTAGAAGCTTTCCTTTGAGCCCCAAAGTTATTTTAATCTTTTCAGTTTTGCTTTTGTTTTATAAAGGAAAAAACTCCAACCTTCAGTGAAAATAAAAATAGAGAATAAAGAGTAGGAAGTATTTTAGTCCATAAATTTTAAGAAATAAAATTCCGATTGGGATCCAATCAAATTTTTTTCAACATTTTAAAACTCCCCTGAGTAGTCGATTGCCACTTTTTCTAGAGGAAGGGCTAAAATCCCCCTTCCCTCTCCACAGGGGGGAAAATACTTAAGCAGCTTATCCAGGTACAAAAGATAATTAGGATTTAAGAGAGGTAGATCTCACCCAGTCTTTTCCGCACTGCTTTAAAGTTGCCTGATGGGAAGTGTGACTTCTGCTGTCTGCAGTCTAGTGACAAGCCATATTACTATGGCCGGTCTTTTGTTCGCTGGTTTGGAGGGTTGCGCCAGCCCTAGTGAGAGAGCTACTGCTCTCCCGCGATCTAGTGAAGGTTCCTCCTTGCTGGTCGCCCTTACAGGGCGACTTTCGACTCTTTTCAGGGCCCCCCAGCGATGAAGACTGAGCTCGTCTTCCAGGCGTCCATG